AACCGGCTCGATTGCACCCTTCGCCAGGAGGGCAGCAATCTCCTCTCGCAAGACAGGGGCGGACAGGGGGTTGACCCTGGAGAAATACACGCCCGTAAACTTGGGGGGCCGTTTCGCGAACTGAATCGCGTAACCAAGTCTGATTGTGCGTATGAGCCACCGCGAGGGGCTGGCCCGCGCTAACCAGGCAGGCAGAGCCCTCGCTAATGGAGTCATCGCTACAATCGCTGACGTACCAGCGGTGGGGCAGCGCGGAGTGGGTGTGCTGATCCGGGAAGCACGAGGGTCCCGCGGAAGAGCTGGAGGAGAGCGATTCGCTCTGGCTCCGCACCCTGACTCCGGAGAGGGGGCTGGAGGGCTGAGGGAAGGGAGACCGTCCCCCCAGCGCTCGTGAGCCACTGGCGAAGCACGTAGAGTCTGCGAGCCGGAAGGCAGCGCGTCCCGGACTGGCAAAACTCGTGCAGTCACATCCGGGGAAGGGAAAAAGTGCTCTTTACTGATGTTTTGGTGGCACTGAAAAGTACCGTTGTTATCGGGGCCCCGCCCTCCAGCGGGGAAAGAGCAAGTTTCCTCTTCTCCGGATGGCCTGTCTCAGGGACGCTTCGCGGTCCGTTTACCGGACTTAACGGCACCCTGGGCAGGAGGGGCTGCCTGCTTTCGAGGTGTACGCCGCGCCCGCTTGGCCGGAGGCGCAGGCGGGGGCGGGGCAGCACTCGTTGGCGGGCGCCCTCGGCGAGGAACAGTGGAGGTGGATGGCTCGGCGGGCGGAGCGGGCTTACGGCCACGCCGATAGATGACATTGCCCATCGCATCCGACTGCTCTTTCACCGCCTTGAATTCCTGGGTGAATTCACCGACGGTGTCGCCGAACAGGCCAGCCTGGGATATGGGCGACTTTGTCAACGTCGCGCATATCGGCCAGGTTTAGCCAGAGGTGGCGTTCCTGAACCACAAGTGTGGACATCGTCCTCCCCAGCGCACACGAGGCGGACTTAGTAGTCCGAAGAGCATAGTCGGTCGCGGTGCACAGCTCATGTAATAAGCTTGGGTTGGACCCGCCCTCGTGCAGCTCGGCCAGCGCCTGCGCTTGGTAGCGCTGGTAGGTGGCCATCGCGTGCAAAGCAGAAGCAGCCTGACCCGCAGCCTTATAAGCTCTGGCTCCGAGGGAGGCAGACAACCTACAGGCTTTGGACGGGAGGCGGGGCAAACCCCGCCACGTAGAGGCGCCGCGCGGACAAAGATTGACCGCGATAGCGCGCTCCACTGATGGGATCGCCTCATACCCCCTGGCAGCTCCGCCGTCAAGGGCGGTGAGGGCGGAGGCACACGCAGCACGGGCAGAGAAAGGTGCCCTCCAAGACTGCGTGAGCCTACTGTGCACTTCCGGGAAGAAGGGGACGAGAGGCTTCGAAGGCTTCGCCTTCTGGTCCTCTACGTAGCACCCATCTAGTCGGTCCGGCCGTGGAGCTGGGGGATAAACCATCTCCAACCCCACGGCCGAAGCAGCCCGGGAAAGCACGGCTAACATGTCCGCTTCAGGATCCGATTTGACAGCGCTCACCTGCCCGGAGGGGGCGAGCGGGTCCGGATCTTCGTCGGACAGTGAAAGCCCACCCTCCGATGCCGCGGAGGACATCTGATCTCCGGTGTCAGCGAGTGTGAGAGCTACCATCTGGTTAGACGGATCACTCCCACTACCCGAAGCTTGGATGGAGCGCCGTGAGGAGCGAGAGGTCCGCGAGCCCGTGGGCGGCGGATTATCTCCCGCTGAAACCCTCAGATCTGCCCGAGCGCCCGCTGCTTTTTTAGAACAGGAGGCAACTGGGGTGGCTCGCTCTCTTGCGAAAGTTAGCCGCGATCTTAGCTGTGCAACGGTCATGGCATCGCAATAACGACATGAACCGCCCGCGAGCACCGCATTAACATGCTGGACCCCCAAACATGCAATGCAGTGATTGTGTCCATCATCCGGAGCCAGGAAACCCCCGCATCTAGAAACGCACAGTCGGAGAGCCATCCTGAAAAGGACGTGCTGCACTACTGTGTTGCTCTTTTAGGAAAGTTTGCAACAATACGCACCGCTCTGGAGGACCGGACCCAAAGAACCGCAGGCAAGGGAGAAACCCAGCTCGACCGTCTGCCACCGCGAAGACCCACTCTGGACCGGGAGACACACTCGTTCGCTCTGAAGTGCTGATCAGCAAGAGGAACCCTCATCGACTCACTCAGAAAGGATCTGAAGCGAAAAGGATGGCGTCTGCTGGCTTCAGGTGTGCTTATATGCTGAGATAATTGCAGATGCCGCACACCTGCGCAAGCTTACGCTGCCAAATAATTTCATTCATTGGCCCGTTCAATACTCTCCAGACAAGCGGCTTCTGATCCGAATCCTCCCATCGTGGATTTCATCCACTTATGGCACTGAAGTTCCCTAACCGAAGGGGAACTTATAGACCACAACATCAGGAACTTATAGACCACAACATCAGGAACTTATAGACCACAACATCAAGAACTTATAGACCACAACATCAAGAACTTATAGACCACAACATCAGGAACTTATAGACCACAACAGCAGGAAACATGCCTTCAGTTTTGAAAAAGGATCAAAACCCAAAGAAAGTTTGATGCCTATCTAATGTTTTGTTCAAGCTGTACAAAAACAGAGAACCATTTCGTGTCTCACACAAAAACTCTGATCTCACTTATAATTGCAACATGCGTTTGATTGTGAAGTAATTGTAACGCAGTAAAGTCTTGCAGTGTGTAAATAGTGTTGACATGAATACCAGTTTCAAGGTAAACCATGGTAAATTTTCTACAAAAAAATCTATTAAAATTATATTTATATTATATTTAATTTCTATTTTCTATAAAAATTTCTAATTTCCATTATGATTAAAACTACGATTTATTATCGGAATTTTGATAATTCTGTAATTCCTGTTTATGTTTAAATAGACCAGGGGTCCAAACTCGGTCCTGGAGGACCTGTGTTCTGTAGAGTTTAGCTCCAACCCTAATCAAACACACCTGAACCAGCTAATCAAGCTCTTACTAGATAATTTACTAGAAACTTTCGGGCAGGTGTGTTGGAGGAAGTTGAAGCTAAACTATGCAGGACACCGGCCCTCTAGGACCGAGTTTGGACAGCCCTGATATAGACAGTTTAAAAGACTGCTTACTATTAGGAATATGCAAAACAACTATGACCCTTGGACTCAGCTTTATCTGTATTATTTTTTCAATCTTTGTACACTAGTTGAAATGGATCCCTTTTAACATTTTCAGGGTTTCTCGGCTGCGGAAGTCATCATAGTTGGGTAAACTTAAAGCACAGTGAATGGGAGAGTACAACAAACATTTTTTTTACAATCCTATTTGCTGAAATAATAGAGTAAAAACTCTGCAATGGTGTTATCAAGACTTTCAGAAAAAGGAAGACAAATGTGTGAGACTGATAACGGCAGAGAAGAGAGAACAACGTCAAATATACTGTCCCACCCATGCACTCTTACAAACACCTTAAAGGGCCATGACACCCCCCTCTTTCAGTTAAAGTCTACTTAAGAATTTTTTCAAAAGATGCATGATTAATGGGCGTGGATCTCCGCGAGCATCGGGCAGGAGTGGGCGTGGCCAGCAGGGGAGAAGGGGAGCGAATAACTGTTGTTGTCATTTAGCTCACAAATTGAGACACAAAGGAGACGCATGAGTTTATAGTTTACAAAGTTAAAATGCAAAGAAATGAACAGTGATTTAATGCCCTGCTACATTTGTTATTCGTAATTTTATATACAGACAACCACAATTTATATCATTATAAAGATGTGTGTTCATGTAAACACTATAAATGATGACTTCTCCCTCAATTCCCGTATCCAGCAGACTCAGTGCAGCAGGTCTCCTGACCCATCTATTTTAACCATTAACCCTGCTGGTAATCTGTAGGATTTAGGCAAACACAGCAGCACGGCGATGTGTCTGAATGTGAACGAACTCCTGATAAAACACAGCGTCCGCCATTCTCTAATTCTCGTGCTGCTCTCCCGACAAAAATTCTAGCAGCACGCACACAGCTTTGCTGTATGATCGGCCCTGACAAGATTGCGGGGGAAAACATGCAACAAACCCCGTTGATGATGGAAACAAATGCATATGAGCCTTCATGAACGGCTAAATAGTGTGCCGTGGTTTCTGTGTCTCTCAGCTCGGGCTTGACACTGGCAGGTCTGGCAGGTCTCATGAATAATTAAGCAGCCGGCTCTTCTCATAGGATAAGGAAACTCAGCTATGAATAATAATGAGAAACCGACGCGTCATCATTGCACTTGCAGTTCTGCGCTACGTCGCCGATTTTGATCCCGCCCCAAAAATCATTTTAAACCCGGAAGCTGAAATTAGCTGACAAAAGCTCAAAATTATCCAGTCTTCCCCACAATTAAAGCTGACAGGTGCTAACATTGTCTTAACTGATGCTCAACACACACACATCTGTTAATATAAAAAAAAAGTTCTCCGGGGTGTCCTGAACTTTTAAACAAGAGGTAATTAGTTTTTTGTAATTTGATGCAAAGATGAAATAATACATAAATGAATATGTATAAAGTTCATACATATTTTTAAATATCAATATATTAAAAAAAACTTTCAAGGATTTAAAATTCTGATGACCATTAAAAGCATCATTACAGTCTTGTGAATAGGGCCTATTCTTTAAAAAAATGGTCTTTTCCATATCTGTATTTATTATGTTTGTGTGTGTGTGTATGTGTTAGGTGATTGTTTTTTTTTAAGGAGAGGGGTCATCAGCATTTTTGAGTGTTAAAATAGGAGTCTCCAGTAAAGTTAATAAACCTATAAATACTGGTATAAAATTATCTTACATGTCCAAAATCTTGAGAGAATTTGGACAGCATACCAATTCAGCAGTAATAATGACCCGCGTGGTAGACTTGACTAATTTTAACTGTTTAAACGTGTGTGTTTGTCCACAGGAGCGGCCAGTATAGGCAAAGGCATTGGCGGTATCCTGTTCTCCAGGTTTTCTCGCTCCAGTGGACAGGTCGGTGGTGTGGAGGAGGAGACGTCAGACTCTGAAGGCGGGACGTGTGAGAAAGGAGACGAGAACAGGTCTGTGGATTTAGATGATAAACCAGACGAGAAGACAGAGGAGAAAATTGAGGAGAAGACGGGAGACACCAGCATGTCACAATCAGCCTCGACCATTATGGATTATTCCTCCTGTAAGCATCTGTACCAAGAAGTCATTGTGCATTCATTCCCTGCTTTTTGAAAAGAATCTTATTGGGTGGCTCCTAGTGGCACACAAATTATACATTGCACTTTTCAGAATTTTTCTGAAACCTTAATTTTTAATACTTTGTAGTTTTTAATGATATATATATATATATATATATATATATATATATATATATATATATATATATATATATATATATATATATATATATATATATATATATATATATATATATATATATACATATACATATATATATCATACATATATGTATCCTGTTTTCACATTTGAGTACAAAATAAAAAGAGTTTTAATTGGGAGGTATACCTTTAACTAATACCTGAAATATAAAGTCAAGTAACAGTTACAAAAAATCAAGATTTAAACTTTTAATTTGAAGATATTCATCTAAAATTACATTTGCTAGATGTGAAATCCTGTTGCAAATGTAAAATTGCACAGTAAGGTATAAAGTTGCATGATGCTTTTAAAAATGATGATTATTAATTCAGTTTTATTTACTAAATGAAATTAACATTTAATGTAACCATTTTTAACGTTTCAAGAGTTCACACTTATCTCATGATTTATACATAGCTTGTTTGGCATGCTGTCCATGGAGAGAGCCCTGAGCTCAAGGGATCTTCTGGCCCAGGGCTCCCCCCTTTCGCAGGGCAAGGGCAGATTGAGCTCACGTCGATCTCAAACTTCCCCTTACCCCTACCCCTTGTTTTGCGCGTGCACGCCAAAAGGTAGGGGTGTCCCAATTTTATTTAGCTTGAAGGTGTAGGGTTAAGGGCAACCCCTTCAAACAAAGAAACTCGAAAACAAGGGGTAAGAAAATTTCCCAGAATGCACTAGCCAGTACGGGAGCATTGCTGAACCCAGAAGTAAGGAATTCCACAAATTTGTATTTTTTGTTATTATTAAGAATTTTTATGACAAACAAACACGTTTTAATATATTTATAACCGCGTTCATGTTTTACCGTCATCCTTGCACTAGCTGCTGTCAGACTCATTGTGTATATTAATATATAACTGAATTGCTAATAATAAACAAAAAGAATGTTTGAAAACGTAAATTATATTTGCAGATATTTTTGTTCTTAATAATAATAATATAACACATACTTTCTCAATTTAATTTATTTAATTTCTTTAAAAGTAACCAAGCAACACATTTAGGGCCCTATCATACGCCCGGCGCAATGTGGCGCAAGGCGCGACGCAATAGTTGTTTGCTAGTTTCAGCTTGGCGCAAGAGTCGTTTTGAGGTGTTGTGCCAGGTTGTTTTAATAGCAAAGGCATTTGCGCTCATATGTGCGCCCATAGGCAGTCTGGTCTAAAAAGGAAGGCGTTCTGATGTGTATTGCTGGCGCATTGCAATTTTGAGAAACTATAATAGATTTTTCAATAGACCAAAACAAACCCAGTCTAAAGTCCAGCGCAGATTTGCGCCACGCTTACACACTGCTTAATACGCACAAGATGTAGAGAAATACGCAAATATCTTTACATATGAAAAAGAAATAAAATATTAAGGATATATATAGGATATAATAAGAATATATATAGGATATAAATATAAAGGATTAAAATATATAACAAAACATATTGTTTTCTAGCATACATAAATATGAAAAACCAAAGCTTTTTGAACACACTACGTTATTATTGTGAATTTATTTGTTTGCTTAAAATTGGAACTGAATTTAGAAATAGTTTTAAAACAAATCTGTGTGCTTAAATAACTAAGTTAGTTATTTATAGGCCAATTGATGTCTGTGCGTAAAAGTTTCCCTATCCACGAGAGCGAAAGTGAAAGTAGATTATGAGAGGCCTTATCTCTCGCTGTAGATGCTCTGTTTAACTGTTTTCTTGCAACCGAAATCTTCAGTTTTTCCACTTACTTTACGTCATGTAAATAGCAATTGGGCTATGGCGCGACGCAACTGGCTCTTAAAGGAAATGGGAGATAAGACTCTGATTGGTTTATTCTCAAAACACACCTATAACTCATTTAGAAAATAAGCTCAACCCTTTTAGATCATGCGCCACGGCGCAAAGTGGATTTTTCCATCCTTATATTAGCAAAAATGGATTCTGACACACCCTGAAAGCATTTGCACCCTACGCACTGCACTTTGCACATGGATTGTTAAAATAGAGCCCTTAGTTGCCAAGCTAAAAAAGTGGCTTTACATTTTATTACTCAATGTCCTACAACTTATTCCCTGCTTCAATAATGGTTGCCGCAGTGGAATGAACCACTAATCCCTCTGGTGTATGTTTTGTGATACGGATGCCCTTTCTTCCACAACCATAGTGGCCATAGTGTGTGTGGGTGTTGCCCAGCACTGAGGGAAAACAACCACACACACTACGGACAATTTTTAGTTCATCTAATCCAGCTTGGACTTGAACCAGTGGCATTTTAGCTGTGGGGCAACTGTGCTAACCACTTAGCTGATGTGCCACCTAAAGGCTCGTACACACCGGGATAAAATTATGAATATATTATCTCCAGGCCTCTATGTAATCTTTGTTGTTCCTGTGTTGCAGTGGAGCTGGAGAAGCGCATTGACTTTGAGCTGCGGGAGGGTCTGGTGGAGAGCCGCTACTGGTCAGCAGTAACGTCACACACGGCCTACTGGTGCTCGCACGACGTGGCTCTGTTTCTGCTGACGTTCTTGTACAGGCCAAACGAAGCCAATGACATGGCAGAGGACAATCTCGAATCCTAACACACACTCACAGACAAACTCTCACCCTCAATCACCCTCCTAATTTAGTTTAGCAGACCTCATTCACTGTGCATCAGAGATCCTGTCCTTGTCTTGTTTTTTCTTCATTCAGAAGCACATCCATCGAGGAGACTCACACTCTCCTCTACGTCCCCCAACTAGGACTGTTTGATGAAACGGTGTTAATGATCCTACTAGTAACTTCCGACCATTCACACGTTGACGTTTCCCAAAAGCAGCAAACTTTTCATATTGACCGATGTGTATGAACTTATTATGGTATGGCTCACTGAATTGGAGGAATTCAACTGAATTGCACAATCAGAGGGGTTTTTAGAGGAATGTGTCTGATGTGATTGATTTCCTTGCCAAAAAATTTATAGTTTTAATTATTTTGTTTTTATTTATTCTATATATATATATATATATATATATATATATATATATATATATATATATATATATATATATATATATATATATATATATATATATATATATATATATATATATATATATATATATATATATATATATATATATATAAATTAAGCATTAATATATGTTTACAATAATTAGACGGCCAAATGTTGAGCAGAGCGTCAATGGGAGCAAGTGCACATAGACCTGATGAAAAACTAAGCATCAGTAAATGATAAGGTTCATCCAAAAATTCACCCAGCTTTGGCATGATTTATTCACCCTCACGCTGTTTCAAATCCATGCTTCTTCAGTGAAACAAATGAGGAGCTACATAGCAGAAATAAATTGTAACTGTCATTAGGTAAATTTGAATATTATCCATTATTGTGGATAGCAATGATGGCAATTACAGTGTTTATTTATATATATATATATATATATTAGCCATTTTGCTGTGAGTCTTTGTCATTTAAATATACTTTTTATATGTTTTAGTTTTTAATTAGTATTTTAGTACTTGAATTATTTCATTTATTAGTACAACAATTATTTAATTTTATTTCAGCTATCAATTTTGTTTATTGTTTTAGTTTTATCTAATATTAACAAACACTTGTTGAGACTTTGTTTCATAAAAGGTCAAATATTCTAGACTTTACGTGAGAAAACAACTACATTATACATATTTCTTTCCTAAAATGCTGTCATTCGCCCGAGCTCTTGTTTTTTAGTCAAGATAAATCATAACAAATGTACATTTTATAAAGGAACCTTTATTTGAGTCAAATATATTCAATTGATGAGGTTAAAGACAGCATACAAGAGTGATCCAAGCTCAACTGACTGAATCTGAGATCTGAGTACAGCAAAAACAACCACTTAGGAAATCTGTAAACTCTGAGTTTGTTTTCATTAGAAGAAATGAGTTTGAAACACCGTAGAGAAAAAATGAATTTATTTATTTTTTTGGGTGAACATTAAAGACTTTGCAGTCTTGTTCCTTTGTCTTTTTCTGATATATTGAGGCATTATTTCTCCTCTAAACTTGCATGACAGACACTTAAACTGCATATTTATTTACTGCATATTTGAATGCACTCTCTTTGCTATGATCTCCATGAATTAAGAGTTTATGCTTTAACATGCATGAAAGAGAAAGTCAGGATGTTTTCCACTGAAGCTGTTAGACTAAAATCCCTACAACTGGATCTCCTCTTTCTTTCCATGTCGACTCACTTAACATTTTTCATTCTCTTTTATGTCATTGACATGTTGTTATGTGTTACTAGTTGTTTTGTAATGTTTTACAGCACCACATTTTGCCATTTTGAAATAACCCTCATTTTGTGTTACGTCCATGTTTTATGTAATAATTTTGTATGATTTGTTTACAATAATCCTGCAAAGCAACACCCCCATGCCTTTATGATGACGAGAGAAAAGCACTTAACATTTCTCCTTACCTCACCCTTGGATGTGCCAATAAACTTAGCCGACGTGAGGTGTTTAATAGGCCAGTCTTCAGCGGGAGGTGCACATATCAGAACTGGACTCCAGCGTCTTTTCATGTTTAGCTTCAGTCGACACCGAGCTGTTCCTCTTTTATGAACCTCGTGTTTTTCATTAAAATTGATATTGACCGCCTGTATTGACTTATTCTTTAGTTGTTTTGACTTTAGTAAATAGTGTTGCTGTGGACGTTGATGGAATGTAAAACAACACAGTTCAACTTCATTCATCTCTGAGGCGTAATTTAGCTTTAGCCGAACACAATGAGTCATCAAATGTGTACACTAGAGCCGTTGTTCTCAAATGGGGGGTTATGATTCAATAAACAGCTACTCTTAGTATGTACACTTAGGGTTCATTTATACTTGACAATGATGCACTAAAAACGGAAAAGTTTTTTCATTGCGTTAGTGAAATGTTTCGCCTACCTACAGATAATTACATTGTCAAACACTATTTTAAAAGCTGCATTATTTATGTCAGGCCATTAGATGGCGATGACACTTTTTAAAGAAACACTGTGCACTTACATGACCCTCATTTGAGGTCAATACATTTGACTGATATACTAATTCCATCATATGTACTGTATTTTGTCCAAGTCTTGCAGCGGGTGTGAAAATTCTAAGTGTACACATTTATTGCCTAATAAGACACTTGGCTAGATTGAAAAAAAATGTTGCAATTCTCATTCATTTTCTTTTCGGCTTAGTCCCTTATACATCAGGGGTCACCACAGCGGAATGAACCACCAACTAATCCAGCATATATTTTACGCAGTGGATGCCCTTCCAGCCGCAATCCAACAATGGGAAACACCCATACACACTCTTGCCTTAACACTCACTTCGGCCAATTTAGCTTATTCAGTTCACAACTGCATGTGTTTAGACTGTGGGGTAAACGGAAGCACCCGGAAACTGACCCAGCCGTGGCTCTAACCAGCGACCCTCTTGCTGTGAGGTGATCATGCTACCCACTGCACCATTGTGATGCCCCAATTGTCATTCTTCTACTTTTTATTTTTTCATTTTGTGTGTGCAACTTTAGAAATAAGTGATAGTTTGCCCCAAAAAATTAAATGTACTCACTATTTACTCCTTAAAATGGTTCCAAACCATTATGAGTATTCTTTTCTCTTGAACAAAAAAGAAGATATTTTGAAGAATGTTACTGGTAACCAGCAATTTCCATGGTAGGAAAAACAGGTATGTCATAGGTTACTGGTTTGCAACATTTAAACAATGTTTTCTTTTGTGGTCAACATAATAAAATAATTCTAACAGGTTTGTGACAGAGCTTTCAGTTTTGTGTGAACTATCACTTTAATGTTTGTTTTGCGGTCCACAATGAATGATAAAATTTGAATTATTGTATTTTAAATTATTTGATAAGCAACTGTTGCAAAATTGTAAAACAAAATACATGTCCTATAAGCAAGTCTTTACCTTTTGCCAAGAAATGTATACTATTATTTAACTTACACTAAAACGTTTCTAAACAACACAGTGGCTTAGTGGTTAGCTAACCACTCACAGCAAGAAGGTCACTGGTTTGAGTCCCGGCTGGGTCAGTTGGCATTTCTTTGTGGAGTATGTTCTTCCCGTGTTGGCGTGGGTTTCCTCTGGGTGCTCCGGTTTCCCCCACAGTCCAAAGACGTGGTATGGGTAAATTGGGTAAGCTAAATGGTCTGTATGTGTATGAATGAGAGTGTATGGGTGTTTCCCAGTAATGGGTTGCAGCTGGAACCGCACCTGGTGCGTAAAACTTATGGTGGATAAGTTGCCAAGTATATTTCGCTATGATGACCTCTGATTAATAAAGGGACTTAGCCAAAATGAATGAATAAAAAGTTTCTCACAAGGTCTGTGCAAAAAATAAATAAATAAATAAACCTATTAATCCATTTTTACTGCTTATCCAAAGGTGGGTTGTGGGGAGCAGCAGTCTCAACAAGGAGCACCAGACTTCCCTTTCCCCAGACACTTCCTCCAGCTCCCCTGGAGGGATCCCAAGGCATTCCTAGGCAAAGCCGAGAGACGTACACCCTGCAGCATGTCCTGGGTCTTTCCTGGGGCCTCCTTCTGAGGGATATCCGAGATCTTGTCCTTCAGTCATGTTCCAAAGCTCACGACCATAGGTCAGACTATAGAATTGAGATTGACTGTTAAACAAAGAGCTTTTGCTACATTTTTACTGTAACAAACTAGTATCAACTGGATTGCTGTTGGCATTGCACCGTTTTATCTGTCAAGCTCATGTTGCATTCTTCTTTCACCTGGGAACAAAAACCTGAAACTCTACTATCTAAGGCAAGAACTCTCATCCAACATGGAGATGACATGCTACCCTTTTCCAGTTGAGCACCATGGCCTCAAAATTGGAGGTGATTCTGACTCAGTCATTGTTTCACATTAGCTAAATCAGGGATAGGGAACCTATGAGTCGGGAGCCACATGTGGTTCTTTGACCAAAAGTATGTGGCTGTCCAGCTGTCTACCATCAAAAAAAAATTTAAACTGTCACTAAAAATCAGTTTCCTATTGAAAAAAACATTTAAAATTACCTTTTTATTGTATTTTTACAGCAAAATGAATAAGATTAAAAGAACGTTTCAACCAATGCGTGCGCCTCGCTGTGGATTAACTTGAATAAGATTAAAAGGACACCAATAAAGGGCATGCAACTGACATTTCAATGGTAACCTTGCACTTGTTAATTCAAAAAACATTCATGATGGCAAAAATAAATAAATAAATTCTATAAATTGTCCTTTCTTAATACATGGACTTGCTCAACATGTGTTGCTTCATATATATCCCCAATGGCTCTTTATAAAAATGCATTTGCCAAAAAAAATCTGAAATCTGAAAAAATCTTTGCTGAAAAACGGTTCCTGACCCCTGAGGTTGTCTGACTCAGCCATATTCTACAGCCAAGTCTTAAACTCTCCCTATTGGTCTAGCTAGAAAATGAGACATGTTTGTACGTTATCTATCTATCTATCTATCTATCTATCTATCTATCTATCTATCTATCTATCTATCTATCTATCTATCTATCTATCT